TGTTGGTTGTAAAGGGAACCTATCACTACTGGATTTGTTTTCCTGTTTTATAATTTGTCCAGGGGTCTTAACCAAATGGAAGTTTGGGTATCACAAAAAAGAAGGTCGGATGTTCCACCAGGGGTCAGAAAGCGCGCTGAACTTCCGAGCGACGCTTCGCAGGTGGCAGAGCTGAAGAAGGAGCCGTTGCCCGGGGCCTTCGTCTGTCCCGATGAGAACATCGCCACGCTGGTGCACGCTTTATTGCAGGCAAAGGAGACGTCTCCTTTGCAAACTCCCGGATCGTCGGATCGTTTCGCACTGGAGTCACTTGGGCTTGGCCATTGTACTGGTACCTAGCTCAGTTGAGTGGCTCCCTTTTTCCAACTTACTTCTTGGTGGCTGCCCCACTAAAATGGTCTTCCCAAAAAAGGGTTCCCTTTTCTTTCCAGGGTCACTGAACAACTGAGCTAGAGTCTCCATGACCTTAAGCAATTCGGTTATGACCCCTTAATGAGAATGGTTACTGGTACCACTTACATCTGGGCAGAGGCAAGGTCAGCCAGAAACTGGCGAGGCCATGTAAGCCAAAGAGTGTGTAGGGAGCTATGACATGCTTTGTGTGTCAATCAATTACTGGTACCTGGAGTCTCCATGACCCTTAAACAATGGGGTCATGACCCCTTTCTTTTGGGGTAATAAGCCCATTTAAGGGTCACGGAGACTCCAGGTATCCAAGAAGTTTGGCTAAAGACACACACACAGACATCGGGATCTTCCCTTGTTCTCGCTCTGAATCTGTACGGAGCCCGAACGCTTGTGTTTTTTTTCGCTCAGTGTTCCTTGAAACCAACCTGAAAAAGTTAATGACTACCCCTGATTGCCCCCCCCCCCCCCCCTAACCCCGCCTGAAGGTCGACGAGGTGCAGCAAAAAAACAGTTTTAAAGGGTCCTTGCCCTTGCTCCTGAATGGTCGGGCTGCTCCTGTCCTCCCCAGCCTTCTGCTTCAAGCCTTTTCCAGCCTTTTCCTCCCCCTTTTCAGCCTCCACTTTTGCCTTGAAGGGGGGCACCCTTTACAAGCTTGTCCAACATGGGCGTTCCACACAATGTGACAAGCAATTGGCTTCCGCAAGACTAGAAAAAGGAAATCGATATGGGCACACCTAGCGGCAATAGCTTGTTTGTAAATCGAAATTGCTTGTTTGGTTCATTTGCTATTGTATATTTGTTTGTGTTGACCAGATCTTAGTCTTAGGGTTTTTTCTTGAACAAACCTTGTGGATCCCTAAGCAGTCCTTTTTCTTTTGGCCGTCGGGGAGGGGAAAAAGGACGGTCTTCTAACATGTGTTTATTACTTCCATCCTTGGACACCCCGCCATGATGGATGAAATCCATTTTACACCACTTTGAAACCATGGAGGTAGCCATAACGTTTGTTTGGTAGTTACGTTGGGAAGCATCAGTATGTTGGGTTTCTGAAGGGTGGTGCGTTTGGATTTCCCAACCACCCAAAGTACTCTGCAGGTTCTCCCCGTGCCGAACAAAAATGACCTTTAACACTCATGCAAAGTCAAAACCCCAAATCACAAGCAGCGCGGGGAAAAGCACCTCAAACCTCGGCCCAAACTTGGTAGAGGCTGGCTTTCAGCCTTTTTTTTCTGGATGTCCCCAACCACCCACAGTACTCTGCAGGTTTTTCGTGCCGAAAAAAATGGGCCTGGAATCAAATCATTCCGTTGGGTTGCTGAAGGGTGCTGTGTTTTTTTTGTATTCCGCGACCATCCGCGTGTCGAAACAATTCTTGACCTTTCAGGGCCCCGAGGGCACTCCCTACGAGCTGGGGCTGTTCCACTTTATGATCTACGCGAAGCCCAACTACCCCCACGAGCCCCCGCTGGCGCGGCTGATGACCACCGGCAAGGGCCAGGTGCGCTTCAACCCCCAGTTCTATACCTCAGGCCGGTGGCCGTTTTCGGATCGCGAATCATCCGTTTGTCAGACTTTGTTGTTTTCGCTTTTTAGTTGGTTTAGTGGTAGTCGGGTGCAAAAGGGGACATGAAGTATACTCTTGGAGGCGAAGCCAGCCATCCGGTCCCTTAGCTTTTGAGCTTTTTAGTTGGTTGAGTGTTTTTTCCATTCAACCCACTAAAAGCCGAAACTTTTAGCAGGGGATCAGTTCGGGCAGCCAAGTTTCGGGCAGTCCTTCACACGGCTGGTCTTTGGGATGACAAAGGCCCCAGAAAGAGTTAGAGTTGGCCTCTCCCGTCCGCATTGTCCTACCCCCCCCCCCACACTTTCAAGCACTTTTTAAATACACCTATCAAATTACACCATTCAAAACCACCAAATTGAACAACCCTCTAAGTTAATCATTAGAAAAATAATATTCTAATGATTAACTTCATTTTTTAGCCCAATTCGTCAAAATTCCCCTGAACAACTTTCTTTCTTCTCAAAGCTGGATTATACAAAGGCATTGTCATTTTGAGTTCCTGTATCCTCTCTTGACCTTCTTGAAAATATTTGTCCTTGAATTCTTGTGTAGGTGCTTCTTCAACTAATCTCTGATAATCTGCCTTGAGATGTTTGAGCATATTGTCTTGGTGACAACCTCCAACCAAGTGGAAATCCCAAATCTCTGGGTTCACTCTTCTTTCACAAACATGACAATACAAATATCCATTATTCGCTGTCCTCTCTCGCTTCTTCGCTCTACATTTATTACATGTCTTGAACCCGTTAAATTCAGTAATTGGTTTATTGACTCTACAACTGCTACACTCTGAATTCTCCATACTATGTTATGAATACATTTCCTTAAATGATCTTTCAAGATTACATACCTAAAAAATGAATAAACCCAACCTTTCCCATCCAAATAACACATTGTCGATTATCACTCCCCGAAAAGTGGTTAACCAATGGAAAGGGAGAATTAAAACCGTTAACCCAAATCTTGAAAATAATCTGTGTGACATTGGATGGCAATATGCGGATGGGAAAGGCCTAGGTAGGAAAGCACCCCCACGGCTTATACGGGAAAATTAAACTAAAATTACAACATATAAGATCTTACATGTTGTAACTATAGAAGGATTAAAATAATAATCAGGTAATAAATCTTCAAATATGTAATCTACATCTGTTGATTGTCTCCCTGAAAGAGCACAAACCTTGCATTTGGAGCTGTCCAAAAAGGGACAAACACCATACACCAAAAGCGGTGTACGCATACACCAAAAGCGGTGTACGCATACACCAAAAGCGGTGTACGCATACACCAAAAGCGGTGTATGTTAAAAAGGGGCTTTTCAGCCTCAAATTATTTAACCAACCAAACTCACCAAAATTTCACTGATTAAACTACTAGGTATTTTATATAGGTCTTCCTGCTTATGTATTTTTGGATTGTCTCCCCATTTTTCCTTGTTTTCATTTGGCAGTCTCTGCGCAGTTTCAATATGTTTATTATTCCTGATGTTGCCACAATCCTTTTTACATAAATCTCTAGGTTTCCATGTTGTAATGTTATTCCAGAGCCTAGTGCGTTTTCTGTAAGGCATTCCATATTTACAATAATCTACATCTTTAAAATCAAACTCATCCATAAACTCCTGATTTTTAATAATCCAGTTTGGGGATTTTCGATTACAAAATATTTAGGATTAAAATATTTGATAATTTCAATAGTTTTTAAAACTATACTATTAGCATATTCAATATTCCTAATTCCCCTAGTTTTTGCTTTGCTATATTCAGTGCATGGGGGACTACTCCAAATAAAATCAAAATGGTTCCTATCAAATTGTTTATAATCCCATTTCAAAATATCAGTATTTATATCAGCATTTTTCAAATCCAATGAAATGACATTGAACCCCAGATCGCGGGCGATGCGACCGACCGACCCTGTCCCACTAAACAGTTCTAATAGATTCATCGGCTAATAGACCGGTTTAGATATTATTTTTTCAAACCTTCAGAATCTCTGACCTCAAGTAGGGGCGGTTCATCCCTTCAACAGAATAATAATCTTGACCAAGTTTTTTTTTCAACCCTTGAAACCTTGTATTTGACACTGCTCCATGAGCTCGTTCTTTCTTTCTCGGAAATCCCTTTTTTGCGGTATATTTTGACCTCATCGCCAACCCTAACAGGGGGATATTTACGGGTTTTGATTCTGTTCATCTCAAGCTTCATCTTGACCTCAAGATGGTTTCCCTTTTTGTGGGCATCGTTTGGAGTCATATCGTGGGCAGAATGAACCATTTTACTGTTGTATGTCAGCATGATCTCGGGGATATAATCAACCCATTGTATATTAACCTTTCCCTTTTTCTCGTCTGCATCAACCCTCTTGAAAAGCATGTCCTTGAACGTGCGAATGAAACGCTCGGCGAAATGGGGGTGCCCTCGTGTTTTATAGTTTTGGATCCCTTCGTCCTTGAAAAAATCAACAAGATCTTGGGTATTGAGACTCCCCTCGTCATCCGAATAAATTAATTTGGGTTTCCCTCCCATTTTGTTTAATGCCTCCATGATCCCAGCCGTGATGTCGGCAGGTTGCTTGGATGCAATAGGCACCACCACGGCTTTGCGGGAAAATACATCAATAAGCAATAAGCCTATCCTATATTTTTGATTATCTAAATCATTTTTGATATAAAAAACAGATCCAATTGATATTCAAAGTTGATATCAGGGGCAATAAACGAATTGTATCCAGACAGTTGTTTTTTCCGTTCCACGTTCTCTTGAAACCACTCCTTGACATCTTGCATTGTTATGGATGCATCTTTCTTTTTTGCATCTTTGTAAGTGGTGGCGATGCTACCAAACCCAGCCTGATCGTAGTAGACCTCACTGATTATCTTGTCTTTTTCACTCATATATATAATACTATAAAATAAATATCAATATGTTATTTTATCACTGAAGCATCTATTACAAGAAGCACAGAAGGCAATGACATTATCCTTTGTATGGGGAAGATCATTACATAACCTTTGACAAGTCAGATTAGAATTTATATTGCCAGAATCCATTGACAACACGAAACCACAGCCACAGTTGGCACACTTGCCATTGACGTTGTCCTTCAACCATTCGGCATCTACATAATTTTCTTTTGGAATACAAAAGCCATTTTTACGATCCTGTTCCTTGTATGCTAACACCTTTCTATCAAAATAATTCATAATGCATTTTGCGTTAAACTCTTCATTTAAATCACTACTGTATTTGTAAAATTTTACTCTGTTTAAATCCCTTGCCCGTGTGATCCCCGTCCAAAGCCACTCGCGAGTTATCAGATGATGGTTCCAATCAAAAATGGTGACATCGTCATCAATGGAACACCCCTGAACAGAATGACAAGTATAACAGAAGGCAAAGATAAAATGACTTCTCAAGATACCAATATGTAATGTAATCTCTTCTCGTGTTTTGATATTAGCAATGGTAATCCAAGGATCGGAAATATTAATTATCTCATACCTAAAATTCACATTTAACTTATAGGTTTTTGTCTTCCTATACTCTCTGCATATCATGATCTCGCCGACTTCAAACTCATTTTGTTTGCCCTGTCGTTTCCTGATCTGCCTTGAAACCTCTCTACAAGTGTTATTTAAATATGCGACATTGCTTTCTGTTCCTGTGATGTCATCGGTATATTTAAAATACTTATTGATGACATCATGTAGAGACAACTCATGCTCAAAGATGTCGGCATAAATACTTTTAAGTTTATCCTTGTCCTCCTGAGTCTTCAATCGCTTGCACTCTTCCAAAAACAAATGATGAGGAAAAATGCTGTCAATACATTCATTCATATAAATCTCGTGTTTCTTAGTGTTAGTCAGTGCTTTTATGGGGCTCAACTGCTTGGCGTCACCGGTTGCCAACATTATTTTACTGTCCTTGAACTGCTCAACGAAGCCCTTGATTTTTGCCAATACAAAGGTATTATTAAAACAAATCTCGTCAAACACAATGACATCAAACATCGAATGATCGTATTTATCTAGCTTGTCGTCATTGACTGCTATACCGAAGAATTTATTTACAGTGACGCTTTCCACTTCGCACTCCAAACCCAGATTATTGGTAGGAACCACGAACAACACTTTATAACCCTTGAGTCTCTCCATGTTCTTGCAGATGGTGGACTTCCCCGCTCCTGCGAATTTTGCCTTAATCATCAAGCACCTATATTTCTCAACAAGTTCAACCAATTCATTTTCATCATACTCATTAATGATGTTAACTCTCTTACTTTTGACAATCGGGATCTCAACATATTCACACTTCTTCTGTTCATACAACTGCTTTCCTGCATGATGGATCTCATCGTGAGTCTTGGCTAATTTCCACCCACCGATCCCATCGTGAAAATCTAGCAACTGCTGAGTCTTTCTCAAACCAAACTTATTAAAACCCGAACAGTCCACGACAAAAGCGTCGCATTTGACACTCAATACCTTAACATTGTTCTCTGTCAATTTTTGATATGCGCATTGCATTTTGAAATTATGATACTGCAATAGCATTTCTTTAATAAAACGAAACCCATTGGACAACTCGCACCTATCAACCACATTCAGAATATAATATAAATTGTCGTTTTGTTCAGATACTTCTCTATCACGGCACCACATGCCATTATCATCATATTCCTCAACCCACTTGGCAGTATTCCTGCTCATCATGTTTAACTTCCCCCCTGCATCTGCCTGAAGGCTGATCGCCTCATTGAGATCATTAAAAACGAATGATCTCTGACTGCTGTTCTTACTTTTTTCCAACAAGCCAAAAATCGAGTTGGCTATTATTTTTTTAATTGCCTTGTCTTCTTCAATATTTTCGCTTATTCGCTTTCCCCAGAGTTCCTCAACCAACATTTTATTATCTACCTTGTGGAATGAAATGTGGCTGTTTGTAGTGAGTAATGGACAAC